TATATAACTTTTCTTCTCAGTTTAACCCAATCTACTATAATCTTTGGGGTCGTCCATATCGAATCTGACACCCTGTATAATATAATCGTAATAATTGTAGACTTCCCACACAACACATGTAGATACTGAGAAAGCTCTGAGAATATCTCAACAGTACATTACGTATATTCTCATAGCTTTCGAATATGTTCTATGATGTACTGAGTACGTACTGAGAATGCACTAATGTCCGCTTTTTCTCATACATAGTATGTGCTGAAAATATAAATGTGCCGCTTTCGAAGCTTATTAGCTAAATGTAAACGTTCTTTTTCTTGTACATTATTCAGTTTTACAAGATACTGCCAATTAATGGATTCACCATTCGGATCAATTATTGTTGATTGTTCACCAAGATAATTATGTATTAGTTTCAGCCCATGACAAGGATAAAAAAACACGACAACTTGTTCACCGGTGTTTAGGGTGTTTGAAAGCAGTCTGAAAACAATGTAGTACATCGAAATTACAATTGAGGATCGAACACATACTTATATTCGATGGTGCACCGTCAAAAGTCACACTCACAATAGTCATGTCATGCTCATTGCAACAAAGTTAGTGCCTGAAGAACCAGATTAGATTTTTGTTCAGCGTTAGTACCATGAACAAGAAAGTAGCCTATTGGTATTTTCCAGCAGCCGTTAATGCAATTTACAATAAAAACCAAAGCCTCTTTAGCAATAAGACCTTCAGAACATTCAATGTTAGGTCCCTTCTCGCAATAACCAGTAAAAATGTGCCCATCATATTCCTCATGCTGGCGAATAGCCATTTCATCGAAAATCAAACGCACCGAACAGAGGATATTCGACAACTTTAGCACGTTCTTTAATAGATTTTAATGATTCTGAATGAAAACCCGGTTGAACATTAACTGATGTGTACCATTTACTGATTGTTTTTGTATGAGGCAAACATATTGTGTCTTTTGAACGAACATATCTGTAATTTAAGCACGCGGTGAATAATAATGGAGGGTTAATGCAAATGATTTTAATTCTGGACTATATATTGTCTTTCTTTGGGCATATTTTTAACTTTTGATATTTGACGTTTTAGCAAATGTACATTAAATTTACTTAGGTCTTTCAGCACATCCAATTGCTCAGTTCCAAGAATATTTTTCTGTTTTAATGCCTTTAAAACAGTCTCCATCTGAGCGATTCGAGTGTCTCTCCTTCGCAGCTGTTGTTGAAGATTTTTAATTTTTTGTTTATAAAGCAGTGAAGAATTTCTTAAAACTTTCTTGAGGAATACTTTCCTGGGAGTATCTTCTGGCAGAGGTGTTGTACATGTTCTTGGCTTTAATCTATATGCAGTTTTCGGGGTTGATACAGAAGAGCATTCCAATTTATCTGTAAATAATGAAGAATTAATAATGTTTTGATTCATAGTAAACCAAAATAATATGATTATCATTTATATAATACTAAATAGTTATTCTGCAATGATTAGCAAAAAACGCGCTTTTTGGAGGAAATGTATATTTTAAACAAATGCCAAGTCACAAATAACACAGTTCAAATAAATGTGTAAATATTTTTGAATGTTCCGATTTATTTTAAATAATATTTTTGTATTTTCAAAACTTGTATGTTTCTTTCCTGGCTGACTTAATTACAACTTAAAAATTTCTTGCTAATTACAAATCTTATGAAATAATCCTAGAAAACACTTTCATTAATACTCACCATTTATTTCATCCGACAATTCATTACTTGGTTGATGTAGGGGAGAATATTTCAATTGTTCAGATTCTGCTACACATTCTATATAAACATTGATTAAGAATTATTAATATTTCCCCAGAGCACAGAGAATCCAAAAGAATCCAAAAAGACTTCGTTTTTATGTCATCATTTCTGTGAGCTCTTTTATTAAAAAAGAATTCTTTTCCAAAAGGAACTCGGAAACAATGACATAAAAATGAAGTTTTTTTATTCTCTGTGCTTTTGATTCTCTGGGTTCACTATAAAATAATATAAACTTCTGAAAATATCGAAATAAATTCACACTCTCTTGTATAATTGTTAATAAGTTCTTAAAGATCCAGGAAAAGACTTTAGAATTATTAATATTTTAATAATTCTCAATTATTTTTCTTTTGATGAGTTGTAAATATTTTGTAAATTGTTTTCTTTAGTTACATACCTTTTAATTCCATTTGTAATGTATTACTTGGTGGACCTGCATCAAAATTATGTTCGGAGTCTTTTAAAAGGAGGTTATCATTTTCATTATGAAAATCTTCTATTCTTTCTGAACATGGTTCTTCCACCGTATCGTCAATTTCCATGGAATAGTCATTCACCTGTTTAAAAAAGATTGTAATTAATAATTATAGCTTCTGTTGAAAAAATAATACAATATAACGACGTTACATATACTGCAATACTGTACCTGTTTTGGTAATGCATTTTCTCGAAGCCTAACATTACTTATAAGTGAAGACCTATCCAAGTCAGCATCTGCAAAATGCACCGAACATAAATATGCATGTTGTGGTATTTCAGATTCATTAATACCCAACCGTTCCAACCAAACTTTACGTATCTCTGCATTTTTCGGAAACCTAAAGTAATAAAAAGTATGATTTTCATCCTAAAATCACTTCATCCAATTAAAAAACCCCAAAAATAAAAGATTAGTACTAAAACAAATTTTATTACTAATTTCAATAATACCTATTATATATATACTTACTTGTGAAATGATATTTTTCCATGCACTTCCTCGTACTTTTTTTGAACTTTACTTTTTGAGTTTTCAGTCCCTCGGTTTTTGCAGGTCTTCAAATTACAAGACGGCATTTTATTACCTGCAACTTTATAAATGTATTGTATTTATGCACTTACACGTGATTTTTTTAAGTTTACCTTTTTATGGAAACGTCTTTCAACCGTTAGGTTTATGTCAGCGTGATGCTAAAAATTCCTTGACATTTAAGGTGCATTTTCACGTGTCGCTCGAACCGGCCGTTTCAGCGACAAAAAGGGTCACGTGATTACTTTTGTCGCAGAATTGTTACAGCAGCAACTATGAAAAATAGCAAGAAGCAACAAATCTGTGTTTAAAAGACAGTTCTAACCTTCAAGCGACAGGACCTCAAACGTGCTTGCCAAGGTGCGTATTATGAAACTGTTTGGAATGAATTTTGATCAGAATTATTCAATTATTTTCTATATTTCTATTGTGTTTTCTAGGAAAGTCAGAATAATTCCGAGTTATGGCTTCAAAAAAATATTACAATTGGTTACTAAATTGTAACAAATTCATTTATGAACGTAAAGTCGAATTTGAAAATGATGCAGTTGTTGCAATTGCTATGATTGATTGCTATGAAAAGAATGCTATTACTGTGGAACACAGGACGAAGTTTGCCATCGTCGGCGATGTACTGCGGTAGTACATACGTCGCACCAGAGAGAAACCTGAGAGCGGCCATGCCTTTGTGTTTAGTTGGGACCATGGACGTAAGAATATATGGACGGAGTGTCATAGACATCTATAGACGGAGCATTAGCTACAACTCTGGACAAGAGGGGTTCTGATATTCGGGGCGCGGGAGGCACTCATCTGACATCGACTCTTTCCGGTGAGATTCGGTAATATTCGGTTCACATTTCCAATACGTGTGCACACGTATATACGGCGCGTTGCTTGTGTGCGAGCGTGCGCGCGCGCGCGTGGCCGAACGGATTATTCCCACTCCAAGTTGGAGGGGATGATTGGAGGGGACGTGT